TGTTCGTCTTTTTGTTGTTGTGGGTCTCTTGGGGAGATAAAGTGTTGGAACTCGAACTCTCTTTTTGGTTGGGGAGAGCTGTGGCATTTTCCTACTGCCCCGTCGCCATCTTGGTCTGCCCTCCTATGTGAAGTCTTTTGAAGAACCTCCATACTGCTTTCCAAAGTGGTTGAAAAAGTTTACACCCCCACCAACAATGCAGTAGGGTTCCTTTCTGGCCACTTCCCCTCCAGCATCTGTTGTTATTAGAGTTCTTGATTATAGCCATTCTAACCGGGCTGAGGTGGAATCTCCATGTTGTTTTGATTTGCATTATTTCTATGGCTAGAGAAGTTGAGCATTTCTTCATGTGTCTATTTGCCCTTCTTATTTCTTCTTCAGAGAAATTTCTCTTCAAGTCTTTAGCCCACTTATTTAGTGGGCAGTTGTTTCTTTGAGGATTTGTTATAGTGGGATTTTGTTTTTTGATTTCTAAGTATATTTTAGATATAAAACCCTTGTCGGTTGTATGGCTAGTGAAGATCTTCACCCAGTCTGTAGACTTTCTATTTATCTTGCTAGCTATGTCCTTTGCCATGCAGAAACTGCAGTTTCATGCAATCCCATTTGTCCAAACTTTCTTTTATTTATTGTGTTTCTGGATTTTATTAAGAAAATTTCGGCCTGTGCCAAGGAGCCCTGGAGTTTCTCCTATTCCTTCCTGTAAGGTTTTCACAGTGTCTGCTATGACTTCAAGGTCTTAGATCCATTTGGAGTTGATTCTGGTGCAGTGTGATACATAGGATCTAGTTTTAGTTTTCTACATGTGGTTAACCAATTTTTCCAGAACCATTTAATGAAGAGACTGTCTTTCTTCCATTCTATTTTTTTAGCTCCTTTATGGAAGATTAGGCAGTTATAGATCTGCGGGTTCATTCTGGGTCTTCAGTTCTATTCAATGGGCCCTCAGGTCTGTTCTTGTGCCAGTACCAAGCTGTTTTAATTACTATGGCTTTGTAGTAGAGTTTGAAATTTGGTATTGATATTCCTTCAGCACTGTTCTTTCTGCTGAGGCTTCTTTTGCTATTCAGTATCTTTCATTGTTCATATGAATTTTTGGGTTGCTTCTTCAATTTCATTGAAGAATTAAATTGGAATATTGATAGGTATTGCATTGAATTTGTAGATAGCCTTGGGAAGTATTGCCATTTTCACTATGTTAATCCTCCCAATCCAGGAGCATGGCAGGTTTTGCTACTTCCTTAGTTCTGCTTTAATTTCCTTTTTTAGGTTTTTGATTTTTTCATCATAGAAGTCCTTTATTTCTTTAGTCAAGTTAACTCCAAGGTATTTTATATTTTTGTGGGGCTATTACAAAAGGAGTTGCTTTCCTGATTTCAGTAGTGCTATTCTCATTGTTGGCATACAGAAAAGACATTGATTGTTGAGGGTTAATTTTATACCCTGCTACTTTGCTGAAGTTTTGAATCAGCTTGAATAATTTGGGAGTAGAGTCCATGGGATTCTTTAAATACAAGATCATGTCATTTACAAAGATTGAGAGTTTGATTTCATCTTTCCCTGTTTGGATCCACTTTATATTTGCATCTCATCTTATTGCTGTAACTAGGCAATACTAAATTCTTAATACTAAATTGAAGAGAAGTGGAGAGAGTGGTCATCCTTATATTGTACCTGAGTTTAGAGGAAATGATTTTAGTTCTTCACCATTAAGAATAATGCTGGCTATATGTTTGTCATACACAGCCTTTATTGTATTGAGGAATGTTCCATGAATTCCTAGTTTTTCCAGAGCCTTCATCATAAAAGGGTGTTGGATCTTGTCAAATGTTTTTACTGCCTCTAATGAAATAATCATGTGGTTCTTATCCTTGCTCCTGTTGATATAATGAATTATATTAATTGATTTGCATATATTGAACCAGCTTTGCATCCCTGAAATGAATCCTGTTTGATCATGGTGTATGATATTTTGATGAGTTGTTGAAGTAGATTGACCAAAATTTTGTTGAGAAATTTTGCATCAATATTTATCAAAGAAATGGGTATACAGTTCTTTTTCTTTAATGAGTCCCTGTCTGGTTTTGGGATGAGGGTTACAATGGCTTCATATAACGAGTTTGGTTGTGGACTTTCAATTTCAATTTCTTTGAAGAGTTGGAGGAATATTAGTGTGAGTTCTGCTTTGAAGGCCTTGTAGAATTCAGCTGTAAATTTATCCAGTCCTGAGTTTTCTTGGGTGAGAGATCTCTTATTGCTGTTTCTATTTTGATGCTTGACATGGGTCTGTTAAGTTGGTTTAAATCATCTTGGATTAATTTTGGCATGTCAATATTTGCTAGAAAATCATCGATTTCTTCCAGATTCTCAAACGTGTTAGCATAAAGGTTTGAGAAATATTCACTTTTTTTGTTGTGATGTTTCCACTCTCATCTCTGAGTTTGTTTATTTGGGTGTGTTCTCTTCTTTTCCTGATAAGATTTGCTAAGGGTCTGTCAATTTTGTTAACTTCTTTCCAAGAACAAACTCTTTGTTTTGTTGATTCTTTCTATTTTTTTAATTCTAATTCGTTTAATTCCTGATTTAATTTTAATTATTTCTTTCCATCTACTGGATTTGGGTTTACTTTGCTGCTTTTTTCGAGGAGCTTCAGGTGTCTCATCAAATTATTGGTTTCAGATTTCTCCAATTTGTTGATGTAGGAACTCAGAGCAATAAACTTGCCTCTGAGTACTGACTTTACTGTGTCCCAGAGGATCTGGTAATTTGTGTGTTCATTTTTGTTGAATATCATGAACATTGAATTTCCTTTCTAATCTCTTCCTGACCCACTGGTGGTTCAACAGTGTATTGTATAGCCTCCATATGTTACAGGACTTTCTTTGGTGGATTTTGGTGTTGAGTTCTAATTTTATTCCTTTGTGGTCTGAGAGAAAGAATGCAGGACATAATTTCAACATTTCTAAAAATGGATAAATTTGCTTTGTGACCTAAAATGTGGTCTATTCACTATCTTTTTTGATGTGGATAACCTTGAATTCCTAAATCTCTCTCCCACATAGCTAAGATTAAAGGTGTATATCACCACAGCTGGCTCTTTTTTTTTGTGTTCTTGCTATGTGGCCTAAGATTGTCTAGAACTGAGAGTCTTTCTATCTCAGTCTGCCAAGTACTGAGATTGTGAGTTTTCTCTACCATATACTGGGTCTTACTTGAATTCTCAGTAAGGATGTTGCTCTTATCGTTGTTCAAACTATGAACAGAAGAACTTGACAAAGTAGAGGTAATAATTATTTGGGGTTCTTTAGACTTGAAGACATGGTTAGATCAGTAGGCATTAATTTTATTTTGTCACTTTTTTCATTTTAAGCCACTTCCTGAGTTGGGTCTGTGTTTAGGATAATTGGCTCTAACTTGTAATATCTAGGAAGAAAGAAAGATTAATCAAACCATGCTACAGACATGCTTCAAGTATATCCAGCTTAATTTTCCTATATTAATTCACATTATTCCCTGAACTGATTCACTAATATTCCTCTAATTCGTCTAACAAAATATGAGAGAAACTATTTAGAAGGGATGTGATTTATTATTCTATCAAGAAAAATCTCAGATTGCTCTAATGATAATATATCCAAGGGTAAGGTAAGGTAAATAAGAGAACCAAGAGTCAAGATTATAATTAATAGATAAAAACTAAAAGAATAAATGAGGACAGATATACTAACATTTTCAAATAATTCACAAAGTAATATTATAAATTATTAATCTAAAAAATTATAGTTGACTTGAAAAAAATTCAATTTGGAGTGCAGGTCTCAATCCTCAAATCTTTATAGATTTTTTTTAATAAATAAGTTTTTTATTGTGAAAATACCTTATAGAGGGGTACAATTACATAAGCAAGGTAATGAGTGTATTTCTGATCAACATTGTTGCCTCCTCCTTTGTTTCCCCTTACTCTCCCTACCCTCCCATCTCCCCTCCCCCCCACAGCCAAAGTTGTAAATTTCATTAAATGCAGCTACTTAAACTGTGGAATAACTGGAGAAGAAATGAGAATTTTTTGCTTGTTAGATTATCAGGTCTTTCTACACACATAACTTCAATAAGTTCTGTAATCTACCAATACAATACTTTTCCCAAGAATGCAATTAAAACATTCAGATTCTGGGAAACTTTTGGCTCATGTAACTTACTCAGTGTTAATAATGGACTCAATATCTCCCTTCCTAGAATTGTCAGTGGGTAAGAGAGATATTTTTCATACCATGATAAGGGTTAAGTAAAACTGAAAAGGAGATTTCCATTTACAAAATCTCTATCCCAAAGATAAATGGATGACTAGCAACTGAGTGGTTGAGAAGGACTAGAAGATTACTAATCCTTCATGAGGGTGGTTTTCTGTCAGCAGAATTGACATAGTCTAGATAATTGGCACTCCTTGTAAAGTTAAACAAAATTAAATCATTGGTCACTCAAAATTATATGCCTATATTCCCAGCTATTCATGAAGCTGAGATCTTAAAGATCTGGGCAGAAAATTCTGTGAGAATTTATCTCCAAAAATTAACCAGTAGAAAGCAGGGCAGGACACAAGGTTCAAGTAAAAGAATGCCATGTTTGAGCAAGCAAGTCAAGGGAAAGTGCGAGACCCCAATTGCACACTCTGGTATGGACAAAAATACCAGGTGGATTTCCTAATGAAATAGTCTCTCTGACCTGAGAATAGGCAGCTGATTGCCCATATTTTAATTAGTTTATATTTGTTAAGCCACGAGTTTAAAAAGCCCTCTCACTGATCCTGTGTTCATTGCACAGTGGTCTATGTGTTAAGTGGGCTTCCTGAACTTTCAAGAGAATTAATGTGGGCCAGATTCAGAAATCTGGTTGGGTTATTGAAGATTAACCCTAATTCTTATGATGTATCTGTTTACTATGCATGCTTTCATATCAACTATTCTATCACCTCGTCAATATATTTGTCTTTGTCTTTGCAGATACAGATGTGGTGTATAAAAGCGAGAATGGACATGTGGTCAAACTGAATATAGAAACAAATACTACCACATTATTACTGGAAAACAAAACTTTTGTAAGTAATGAATAATTAATTGCTTTATGCATTACAGTATTGTTTGTTCTGGGATATGCTGAACTTCGAATTTTTCAGCTCCAGTCTGTGCAAAGCATTTCAGGAGGAAAGTTAGGGTTGGAATATTATTAGAATCAGAATATCCATTGATAGAAAATACCTTCACTCCATCTGTTTTATTCTCTCTCTATTTACCATCAGAATCTGATATGTTACATCAATTTATTCAATATTAATAATGGACTCAATCTGCATTATTACTCTCCTTCCTAGAACTTGAAGGTAGGAATAGACATTCCCAGAAGTTATAGTTGCTTAGTACAAAGACTTTCCCTAATGTTTTCTATGTGAGATTAATGTTACAAGTCTCAAGACTTTAAGAAATGGTATATTTTGTGCATCATATTATGAACTTGCCACTCTCTTCCAGGTTTCCTGATTTCATACTCATTCAATGATTTTTGTCCTGGATCAATAGAAGGTTTACAATTAGCTTTGTGTTGGAGCGGATGCATTTTACTTTTAGCATTTAGAGAACTATCATTTAGAGGACTATCATTGATCACTTAAGGCTTAGCCAACAGTGGTCAACTGACTGAATATGGTTATATTTTGTTACACCTTATAAACACAACTTTTATTAGAAAAGTTACACATAACATAGTGTCAACTATTTTCACGGACAATATTAACCCCCAAAAGCAACAAAAACCTGACTCACAAAATGTGTGACAAGAAACTAATGACCTTTTTATAATCAAACATTCAATGTTGACTTGCAATGCTGAGGCTTGAAATCAGAGTTATGTGCATGTTACAGGTACTTTACAACTTGAGCCATGCCATATTCCCAGTATTTTTCTGTTAGTTATAAGGGATTACATTTTTCTCTAGACCTCCTGGATTCGAAATTCTATTTACACCTTCCCATAGCTCGAATCACAGAGGTGCACAAAGCACCCAACTTGTTGGATGAAATGAGGCCTTAGACTCTTATGCTCTGAATATCTTGTTTCTTGAGTAGGTAAGTTTACAGGCATGAGTCAGTGGACCTGGCCTACCTTGTTCTTACAAAAGAGTATAACTATGTTTTTAATAATCTATTTAAAAGACTTAGCTAGGACTACTCATTGAAAAACATACAATACATAATATAAATATAGCAAAACCTAAGTATTAAATCATGATGAAAAATAGTGCACAATTTTTATTTGCTAACATAATATAGGCTCAGTGTATGGTACACTAAATGACTTTATGTAATATGGGTATAACATAGCTCAACCCCTGAAAACTCTTCACAAAATAAAAAATCACAATGACAATAAAAATAAATAAAAAAGTCAATTCACACACAAGAGCTTTACCTCCTTCAGTTATATTTCATACTTTTCTTCCAACCAAGAACCAATTGCATAATATATGGGAAACAGATTATTTTCAAGTAAAGCCATCTTCAAAAGCCAATTTCAATATTCAAAATATTTTGTTCTCACAACTGAAAATAAGTTACTTCCTGAAATGACAGTCTTCCATTTCACTGCCTTAAAAAATAAGCTGTTATGGATAATAGAAGTGTTTTCTTACTAGGAAAAAAAAAAGAAACTAACTGGCTATTTTTAAATTTTTATTCCTACTTTCACATTTAGTGTAGCCAGTTAATCTTCATATCTGTTATTAGATGGCCCAATTTTCTAAAACTCATTTCATTTTCAATAGCTTTCTTTGATAACTGGAGTGTTCACTCCCAGGTGGAAAAGATGAATTAACAGCCTTCTTTCTCAATGTTTTTGTTTGTTTGTTTGTTTGCTTTTGTGCCAGTCCTGAGGCTTGAATTCAGGACCTGACGGCTGTCTCTGAGCTATTTTGCCCACAGCTATCACTCTACTATGAGCCAAAGCTTCACTTCTGCCCTTTTCAGAGCTTAATTAAGGATAGGAATTTCCCAAATTTTCTCATCAGGGTGGCTTGAAAACTCAATCCTCACATCTGAGTCTCTTGAGTAGCTAAGATAATAGCCATGCGCCATCAGGACTTTTCTGCCTTTTTTTTTAATACTAAGAAAACAATGGTCGTTGAAGTCATGAAATTATTATATTTGTGTCTGTTTGGAAAATCTAACCAACCAACTTTCAATGAAGTTACTAACCAGCAGAAAGTTATGACACATATTTCTTTACTACAAGTTATTTCACAGATATTCAAGGCAAAACTATTGTATTTGTAACAGTTTATAATACTTGTGGCAAAAGCAAAATATGTAACATAGACAGACAGATTGCTCATATTCTGAGAATAAAAGCATTTCCTGCGATGATAATATTAGTCCTTTTGCAGTTACTATAAGTAAGCATTTGTTACTTCTTTTTGAGTGTTCCTTAAAGACACTAGTTAAGAGGCTAAAGAATCGGTGATGGATACTGACACATGTGGAAGAAGTCTTTCCTAGGAAGTTGGGACAGGAGGAAGAAAGTAGGACATAGTAATGAGGAGAGATGGTGCTAATACTATCCTGATTAAAATCAGTGTGAAGTGATTTCTCTATTAGTTACATAAGGAACAACATTAAATTCATTTCCAGATTTCCCTTTATCAATTTGTACCATTTTTAATGGAGATTATAGGTTTCTGGTAGTCAAGCATTCAAGTTAAGTAAAACTCAGTATGATAATTTTGTCTTTAAAAAGAATATTGTAAAAATAGACATATGGATGAAGTGTGTGGTTATGGATGGGAAAGAAGTTTTGCAAACACATTTCCATATAACAAAAAGGCTGAAGCATTTAAAAATATTGTAAAGATAATTACAGAGGGGTTACAGTTACAGTCATGTAATGGGTACATTTCTTTTTAAACAGTTTCACCCCCTCCCTCATTCTCTCCCAGTTTTTCTCTTCAGACTTCCCTCCATACCCAAGTTGTATAGTTCATTTCCAACATAGTGTCTAGGGAGTATCACTGCTGAATTTTGTCTTTTGTAACAAGTACTTACTGATCACTCCCTAAATCTGATTAATGAGATGTTTCCTCTAATCATAAATCATGTTTTTATTCTTTTAGCATTTATTATTTTTCACCCTTCTTGACATATTAAAAAAAAGAAACAAAAACAAAACCTGTGTTATTATTCTGTAATCCTAGTTCTGTGGTTGGTAAACCTTCCTATCTTATCTTGTCTCATATGAGTTTCTTAATTTGCTAATTGATTCTCTTTCATCTTTATGCATATGCATTTAATCATTGCAAATCTTTTTTTCAGGTATATTCTATTATCTTCTATGTTGGCCATGACTCTTAATTACGAGTCATACTTATGTCACAGTGCTGATAATTAGACAATTTGTAACACTTAAGACAGTCAAACTGAAGAGTAAAATGAGGGGAATGTAAAGTGGCATATATTTGCAACTAGCTAACCCCAACCTGAGATCAAAGATACAATAGCGTGTTTCTGGATGATTTGAGAGGAACTTGTTTAGTTGTTTACTCACAACTCTAAGCTGTACCTGCTAAATATAGTTATATTTTTAAAGCTCATATTAGGCTAATATTTGGCTTTACTTTCTCACCTTCACCATTCTCTTGAAAATTAATCACTTAAGATATGATAAGAATTCTATAATGCATATTTTCTTCAATAATTATAAGTACTAACTTATAATTATAAGTAATTGGAACAGATTGCTATAAATGTCTTTTAATGGTAATGTAGCAAGTCAATTAAGAAACATTATTGACAAACCTATGCTAGACTAGCCTGATTTTATAGGACATGTTATATAATTATATAATGTTATATAATTATGAGAGGCAGTTTTATTTTTAAAATTAAAGATAGTTTAATATCAATTTGTTATTTACCAGTTTAAAAACTGCTTATTGGTTGTGTACTAGTGCCTCATGCACATAATCCTAATTATTCAGGAGGCTGAAATCTTGAGATTGTGGTTCAGAGATCTGAGAATTATGGTTCATAGCCAGCATGGGCAGGAAAGAAGCTCAGGGACAACTTCTGAGACCTGAGTTCAAGCCCAACAACTGGCAGACACACACACACACACACACACACACACACACACACACACACACACACTCACAAACGGTTATTTTTGGTTATGTAATCATGGGTAGCATATGCTGTGCAATGAGAACAATATTGGGCTTAGGTGTTTAAAACAAAAATAAATAATTGGAAGAAATAATTGCTTATGGCATTCTCTTCAATTTAAGTTAGATGAATATCTAATGAAGAAGAGAATTAAAAATTATATAACTATTTAATAAGAGAATATAAAGAAGTGATTTAACCTCAAAATTGTTCTTAACAATTTATGTGTTTGGCAATGTTATCTCTCAGAACTATAACTATTTCAGAATGAGCTCATTCTCAATGATATAATAATAAAATATTTTATAGGTATCGGTTGTATTACTTCTGCCACCAGTGTGGACTCTAGTGGTCACGGTAAAAATCGGCAGTCATCATTTTTTTCTGTATCACACCATTCTTTGAAATTAAAAAAAAAGATTTGGAAATGAGGTCAAGTTCCATGATGTTTTTTTTTCAAAAAGGAAAATATTTCTTTATTGTAAAAAACAATAACAGAAACAAAAATGTAGCCTCAAATATCTGAAAAATCTGTTTAAATTCATTCTATAAAATTTTCTAAAATTGAGATGATAAATTTATATGTGGCAAAAGAATGATTTCAAGGATAATGGTAGATATCTACCATTGGTTATTATGAAATAGTAAAACATATTAGATACAGGATATACCTAGATACTAACAATTGTCTTTCTGGCATCAGATTAGCTGTGATTGATTCATTGTGTCATTTGTGATATAAAATATTTGTGATATGTGAGGATGTGCAAAGTTTAGGTGGTTTATGTTTTTAGGGATGCTAAGCAAGCATGCTATACCTGAGCTACATCCCAACCTCCAAACATAGCTCCATGTGTTTGTGTGGCTGTGTATGGGTATGTGTGTGTGCGCC